ATCTTTCCCATTCTCAATGATCTTCTTATAAAATCACTGCCAGTGAATCAACAATCCCTTCTGCTGACCTTTGGTATGTTGGCTTGAATACTTCGAGAACATCAAGGCACTTTCCCACTATCACACTACTCATATTGGGTTGTGCCTTCCTATTAGCTATTTGGTTCAGTCCATTCCAAAGTAGGACTAAGTATCTCCTTCTTCTCTTTCTCATTAATTATCATAATCCCTTCCACCTTGAGAAGTTGTCTGGTATTATATTTTACTCTACTCTTTCCCCAATATAGCACAAAAAAGGAAAGACAAGAGCAAAGCCGCTTTTTTGTTGTTGACCTTAAACTTAATATCAACTGTATCTACTTCCATATATTTGTACATTTTCCCAAATCCAAGTTGGTCGATGAATTTCCTGCAGAGTCACATGCTCTCTTTTGTCAAGTCTCTGTTATTCTTCTTATAGGATTTTTTTTCTCTTTGTAGTTTTAGTATTTCATGTTTGAATGCTTCCTGGGTACCCTATGCTAATTTCCTTTATAGAGTTTGAGTCCATGAAAGATCTATTCTACCAAAAATTAGTGTGTGTAAGAATGTGTGGCTTTTTTTCTCCTGTATCACAAATTCTGTTAGAATACTTCCACCACCACCCCCTCGCCTCAAGATCCCCATGATTTATGCCCCCGACATTTAGTTCCTCCTTATTAGTAAAAATAAGACCCAGGGTAGGAAATTCCATTAACCTTTTGAAGGATGGAATGATCATTTAGGCAAGCCAAGAAATTATTAATCATTTTATGTTTGACATATGTATACACCCAGGAGGAGGGAGGGAGGGAGGGAAAGAGAGATTGCTCAGGCATATATCCACATAACAGATCTCTCATCACTTCTATATCATGTTTCCATATTAGGTTTGTGATCTTTCCTTCTATGTTCCTCGTCTATTTCCTTCTTTCTGCACAGGCGGTCTATGGCATACACCTATGAAAGCCTACTTTTATGACTTATTAAACATTCATCCCCTTCCCATACGTTATAGCCCAGTCTATATGGCCTTCTTATCAAGATCCTCATATCTGACATTCCATTTTCCAACTCCATACTGTCATATTAACCATCGAACCCCCATGCCTGGAATGCTCCCACCCCACCTATGCCTCTTAGGAGCTCAAACACCAATTTCTACATTAGCCTTTCTTGATCTTTGCAACTTTGCATACACTTCGATCACCTTGTGTACATTTCCTGGTATATATGGCAGCCTATCTTTGAATCCTTAACACCTGGCACAGTGTCTGGCACATACTAGGATTAATAAATGCTTTTTTTTCTTAGTTGATCAACAATGTTTTTTTTTTCTTTCTGTCTCCACTGATCTTAACCCAAATACTCTTTACCCTGCTTCTCCTTTCTCTTTCATGAATGTCCTCCAGTAAGTATATCTTTTCCAAAATAGAGCTTCCTTTAATATCTTTTGTTTTTACATCACCTAAATTATCCCCTGTATCCTTTCCTTCCTGAAAGTCACCCCTTATTAAAAAGAAGAAAAAAGAAAAAGAAAAAGCAACAAAAGCAACTATACATTGTAAATATACAATGATCTTTCCATTCTACTTACCTTGTTTCTTTTGAAAAGTATACATTTCCAGAGTCATATTCCTTTCATAGAGACTGTCCTAACCTACCAATTCTCAATAATGCTTATTAGGCCAAATTTGCCTCCTTGTGACATTAATATTTCTTATTGACCTTGCTCATCAGTTATTCTGTGTGTGTGTGTGTATATACATACATATATATATATATATGTATGTATATAATGAGGACATTAGTCTTTATCATTGTGACAGGGTTGTGGAAATAGCTATCCTTCACAGGATTAGTGAAATCTCTAATGTGAAGAAGTTGCTGGGACAGAGGCAAAGTCTAGAGAGTCAGGCATGGAGTCAGGTTAGAAAAAGGTATTTCTGGCATGAGCAATTCCTCAAATGGAGATTCTGATCAGGAACTTGCTGCTTAGAGGACAGAAGAGATCAATGCATTTGCCATCATTCAGATATTAGTGAGGATTGTGGACTTTTGGTTGAGGCATCAGATGTCTACACAGACCTTTTGGAAACCCTTTGAGGGCAGGGTAGAGTTGTGCACCAGACTAACAAGAAAGCTGGAAATTTCTTAACTCCCCCAGAAGCATAATGGTTCTGGCTGTGTCATTGTAAGAACTTTCTATAAAGAACATTTTCCTGAGGCGCATGGTAGCAATGAAAGCAGCAGTGCTGATTAACCTTGGACAGAAGTAGGAAACCATACAACACCAAGCTACGTGCAGACCAGAGAAAGAAAGAGAATTTCTGCGGATTATGCAGAAGCGTGTCAGAAAGGTACATGGAGCAAACAAAGGAGATCTTTCAAGTTGGGAACTAAAAGAATATCCATCGTAGCAAGAGTGATGGAGGACCAGGCAGCAGAGGTCTTGGACCGTGCTCAGTAGTAGCTGTTTATGGGACCCAGTTGAGAAGCACAGATCAGACATGCTGATGATCAAAGCTGGGTCTTACCCTTCACCTATATTGTGAATCATGTCAATTATACACATCTGAGTGAGAGAGAGGGCCCAACTCTCTAGAAGTGACTCATCAGTTATTTATTCATTGGGGGAGACTCACCCATGGAGTCATAAGTCGGGGAAGACAATAGAGGTCCCTGGGAAGGCAGAGGCCCATGAGAAGAATGGGTTATTAGAATACCTAGCAACTTACATTTTTCATCTGCTAGGAAGGAGAAGTTTATGGTGTAGCCCTATGATCATATTAAGGTATGGCATCAGTATAGGTCCCTGAAAGGAACAGGAACTGGAGTCTGTAAGAAAGTTTTTTTTTCTTAATTGTCTATGGGGTAGGTTATGAGACTAATCTGTATTCTTTATTATGTACAAGAAACTTATTCTTTATACCACACCCTCTTAACTTAGTACTTGCAAGGGAACTGATGATCCTATAGAGAAAATTAGAGACAAGCTAAATCCATATATTCTCAGGGAAAAGTATGAGTGATAGCGTTAGCCAAAGAGAATGATCATTAAGAAGCCTCCAGAAGCAGAATGTTTTGGGGTTGTTTTGCAGACGTGAGACCGTAGCTTTTATTCCTGGTTGCAGACTTGAATTTCATCTCCTGAGTATTTCTGGCTTTGATTCTTGCTATCCTCATTCTACCCATGATAACTGTTCTCTAAGCAGCCAGCTTTGCTGCATTACACATCGGCAGTTTCCTTACTCCCTATCTTTGTAGGAATTTGAAATGAGAAAAGAGAACATTAAACTGATTCTTAAAGGAAAAATCCTTAACCTAAACTGAGTATTATTCGTTTTTAAGCCTTTTTTTTCTTTTAAAAATGCCATGCATTTACCCAAAAGGTCATTATAGTGATACTTGGGCAGTTCTAGTGCCCAAGCCGAAGAAATAACTATGTACCAATTACTGTCAGATTTGTCTCATACATTTTATTTCAGAAGTGATGATTTAAAGTTTGCACTGGTTCAAAAAATATATACTTACAGAGGATAGTCCATCCTGACATAAATCTTTGAAACAGATTAAACTACTTAATACAGAATGAGAAAATAGCTTCACTTCCTCAAAATAGACACATTCCTAATTGAACCTTCAGTGATCCACTATTTCTCAAGGAACAAAGCTCATAAATTCCTGCTATCGGATAAAATGTAAACTTCTTAGTATAGCATTCAAGGCCTTTTACAGATTGATCCCTACTTTTCTATCTTTTCCTATTTTCTACTATACCCAGAAAAACCCTCTGTTCTGGCCAAATTACGCTACTCATCTGCATGTTAGCTCTTAGCTCTAGATTCTGCTTATACCCAGGGCTGTTCGGATAATGCTGAACAGTGGAGTTTGAGGGAAAAAAAATGTATAAATCACAGACTTTTCAGTTTAATTTCCATTATTGACACTTTCTCTCTTACTTTAAGTCTAAAAATTTTTTAAAAATTACTCAAGCCCTGATTTGAAATATTTGCCAATTTTTAAGTTGTAAATGCACACACTTAAATTTTAATGGTTCCAGCACACCCATGCTTAGATTCCTACCCCTCTCTAAAGTGCCCTCAGTTTCAATAAAATCACCTCCACGTATCAATTACCTACCACGTATAACAGACACCATAAGGCACGAGGCAGTGTATCATAGTCTAACACCCTGGATTCAGAGTCAGAGGAGACTTTGTTTGAAATTCTATCTTAGATACCTACGTGAGGTCAATTCCTACTTCAACACTTGCTAGCTATGTGACACTGAGCAAGTCACCTAACTTCTGTATGCCTCAGTTTTCCCCACTGTAAAATGGGCATTCTCAAAGCACCTACCTTGCAGGGTTGCTTTGAAGACCAAATGAGATAATATTTGTAAAATAATATTAGCATAGTGCCTGGCACATAGTAGGTGCTATATAAATGCTTGTTCCTTTCCCCTTCCCACATACAATTCTTGAGTTTTTTCACGGGTCAAGATTATATCTGGATAATTATAATGGTTTTATAAGGTATTCTGACTCCAGTGTATTTTATTAAATGAATTTTATAGTTCCTATAAATTTTCTTAGTTTTAACATTTCCTAATTTTTCTGAATTTGAAAGTTTCCCAAAGCCTTCCCCAAGCTGCCCCAGCTCTCAGTGATCACCTTCTTCTGAGTACCTAGAGGGCCTGGGTTCAAATTCAATTCTGCCTCTCAATGCTTGTGTGACTGTGAGCATGCAAATTAAACTCTCTGGTCTTTGGTCCCTGATCTAGAAAATGAGCGAGTCAGATTGAAATTTCCTTCAAGTTCAAGTCCGTAATCTCAATGTGTCCTCCTGCTGTCTAGCTTAGCCATTTGGTGGATGACATGTGGTGCCTTCTACTCTGTTCACATTTTTACATGGATGCTGCAGCTCCCAAACAACATTGGAGGAAGCTTGTTCATCTTTTCTTTTCCCTTCTTTCCTAGGATGGAGTCGACTGAAAAATGTGAAGTGGTAATTCAACATTTTAATGGGAAATACCTGAAAACACCACCAGGAGTACCAGGTAAGTGGCTATGTTAGCTAACTGTGGAAAGTGACTTGCAGATTGGGGTATTCTACAACTTAGATTGAAGATATGGCAGATCACTGGAAGGTAGCCAAAAGTAGAATGTTTGATTATTTCATCAGGAAAAAAACATATCTGAAAACCTTTGGTAACTATGCCCAGGAGAGTTTTGTGTCTTTCCCTTCACAATCACAAGCATTCTGTGATTTTCCATCAATTTTAAATAATTTTAAATAATAAAGTTAATAATAATAAATTTTAAAAATAATTTTAAATAATTTTAAAACAAATAAGAAAAATACATATATTTGTGTATATATAGTACATATGTGTATGTTATATATGTACATATATATATTTAGAGAGAGAGAGTAGATATGGAAGAAAGAATGACATGCTCTTATTGAATACAGTAGATACTGGTAACAGTTTCCAATTGATAAATTTTTCAGGATTTCCCATCAAATTCTTGTTTGAAACTTGAGGATTATCATACAAGATCATGATTATCTGTGCTTTGGAACATAGTAAGAAACCACAGTGGAGTGTTAATTTGGCATTACCATTTGATACTCATAAGTTCTTTTCTCCTCAAGGATATAGTTGAAAATTGTATTCATACTTTCTGGTGCATTTTTAAGTTGGTTCATGGACTACATACACTAAGAAGGCTTATCATCAGTAGATTAGAAAAATAGCTCTCTAAAGAATCTTGAGCTGATTTGTTCATGTCCCATATACAGTGGTACTCCCAATATCTTTCTGAACATTTTCCCATCCCATTACCTTTTATATCTTCTGTTCTGTTGCCCCTTCAGGCGTCTGTGTGTGTGTGTGTGTGTGTGTGTGTGTGTGTGTGTACGTATGGATGTTAAGCACAAAGGAAACTGTCAAACTGAAGAGAACTATTTGAGTGGAGGTGTGGTGTAGACATTTCAGAGAGCAGAGAATCACTTAATCATATATTCAGAGCTGGAAGAAAGGCTGTCTAGATGAAGCCCTTCATTCAATATACTTTAGAGGGTTTTTAGAATAATAATAATAAAAAAAATATTTCTATAGAGCTTGCTATGTGCCAGGCACTGAGCTAAAACCAAAGAAAGTTTTACAAGTAGGTATTATTATTATCATCCCTATTTTGAAGTTGAGGAAAGTGAGGCAGACTTGCTCAGGGTCACACAACTAGGAAGCATCTGAGGCTGGATTTTTACTCAGGTCTTCCCAGCTCTGGACCCAGTACTCTGCCCACTACTTTTTGCTCAGAAGACAAAAAGCTATTAAGACCTCACAAAAATTGGGGTGTGAAAATCCTAAATAAGTTATCTGGTGCAATGGAAAGAGGTTTGGTTTGGCCATTAGAGGACCTGGGTTTATAGCCTGGCTCTTCCACATATGTGGTTTAGGCCAAGTTACTTTGCCTTTATTTATGTGACTTAGTTTACCCTTACCTCCAAAATGAGAGTTGGACTAGATGACCTCTAAGGTCCCTTCAGTTCTCAATCAGTAATCCTATGATCCTCTCCAGACCTCAGTTTGCCTCCTCTTCAAAATGAGAAGACGAGCATATAACCTCTAAGTTTCCTTCTATCTTTCATCTCCGACAATCACTAATTAACATGCTACAGGATACTCAGGAAATCTGCAGCTACCCAGTATTCTTTCTCTGTTTTTTCATTGCAAATTAGCTATGTAATTTCAAAATCTCAGAATGGTGTAACACCTTCCTGGAATAAGACCCTCCCCTCAATCATTGCAAACAAGTGGATATCCAACCTCTATTTGCAGATCTCCATCAGAGAGGAAGCCCCTTCATCCTGTTCCCCATAGAGACATACACATATTAGTAGAGTAAAAGGCACCTCTCCCCCCAACATTTTGTTCGTCATTTTATTTTACTTTTCAATTAAAAAGCATTTATTTTCTCTCTCTCTCTCTCCCACTGTACAAATTGAAGGAAAAACAAAACCTTTGTAATAAATCTGTGTAGTCAAGTAAAACAAATTCCCACATTGGCCATGTCCAAAAATGTATGTCTTATTCTGCATCTTGAATCTACCACCTGTTGTTTAGGATGTGGGCAAGGAGCCTAGTTCATCGTAAGTCCTTTGGAATAATAGCTGATCAGTGAATTGATCAGAATCCTTATCTCTTTCAAAGTTGCTTGTCTTTACAATGCTGTCCTCCTGGTTCTGCTCACTTCACTCTGTACCAATTCATACTGGTCTTCCCTGGTTTCTCTGAACCCACTCCTTTCATCTTCTCTTATGGCACAGTAATATACCTCCTTAGAGCATGATTCTTTCAGCCATTCCCCCAAATGATGGGGCCTCTTTCAATTTCCAAAAGCTTAGTTTTGTAGCAGAGAGACTGACCCTGTCTTAAATCTTGCTCAACCCAGGCTTAAGCGAAGAGCTGGCTGATGAGAATAGGTGCTTATTTATTAGGATAGTTTACCCCAAGTTTATGACTTCTACTGAACTTTATTTGGTATATGTTTATGTACATAGAAGCATCTAGAACAGCCCAACCCAAACAGTGACAGCTATATCGCTCATTTACATAACTATAAAATTGGTACATAGGAATGAGCATCATGGAGGAGACAGGTTTCAACATGTGACTACATTTTCTAGACTCCTTTTCCAAAAGGAATCAGGGAAGTAGCTTCTATCTCACTAATAGAACTGAATATGTTTCTCCCTGATAATATGCAATTAACACAAGCCATTTACTAGTAGAGACAAAGAAACTTGCTCAGGCCTTAAACATGTGAACATCTTTCTCATACGGATGGCTAGGCTGCAATAGAAACCTGTCTAATAGTATAGCTACACCCAATGGAAACATGGTGAATAGCAAGGACCTGGCTATCTGCGGTGTTGATTTACTCAGTGAGACCTACCTTGAGGGAGCATATGGGGGAAAATAATTAGACCTAATTATCACAGTCTTAAGAGATTTGACCTTATACCACATGACATAATTGAATTAAGTATATGATATTGTTCATCTTCAGGGCTCAAACATTTGTTTGGCTATTTCTATGGATGCCTTAATTTGGAAGCCCAACTGTTGTAGATAATACAAGGTACAGCATAATTTCAAGATATTTTCTCGATGGAAATAAAATCTGGGAAAAAAAATTTAAAAAAACATATAAAATAATACATAGACCTAATTGGAACGGATGGCATTAATTGCCTCTGGCACAATATTCAAGGAATCTGTGTGTGTGTGTGTGTGTGTGTGTGTATTTTAAAGGTTGTTGTTAAAGCACGGTAGACAGAGCATTGGACCTGGAGTTAAGAAAATCTGTATTCAAATGCAGCCTCAGAGACTTCCTAGTGCAACGATCCTGGGCAAATCATTTGGCACTCTGCCTCAATTTCCTCATTGGTAAAATTGGAATAATAGTAGCACCTACCTCCAAAAATCAAAGATTAAATGAGTTGATATATTTTAAAGGGCTTTGCAGAGTGATGTAAATGATAGCTTTTCTTGCTATTACTATAGATGGATAAAGTAACAGGTCTCCAAAGTCCCACCTATTAGGAAAACTCTTTACCCATCCTGCAACCTGAGAGTGAGATGTCATGAAGAGACAAACATCAGTTTGGAAGTGGTGCCTTTGGTGTTTTCCATTGAAGAAACTAATTTCCCCGACCTAGTTGAGTGCCCTGTGCTTAAGGGAATGAGTGCCATTGCTCAGGGGTGTGCTAATTGGATCCAATTATAATTGGACTGACCTGCCTTACAACTAAAATGCTTGATAGAATTGTTATTTTAAAAAAAACAAAAACCTAGTAATGCTCTGTTTGATGAAAATTTCCTGGCTCGCAGTTGAGAGGATTGTGGTTTTGCAGAGATCTCGGCATTGTTCATATACATGTAATGATCATAAGCAGGGGAGGTTACTCAAACAGATCCTCAGGAGAAAATTAAGCACTGTCCAGTCTTATGATATTGTGGTTCAGTAGTCTGTGTATTTGAATAAAAATATGATAAATAACAATTTCTTCCAGAGGGTAGAACTTGGACTCCTGAAGTTAGTTGAAAGAACATTGGATTTGGATCTGGGAAACCTATGTTTTAAGATACCCTCTGCTACTTACTATTAGTAGGTCAACAGCATTGCTAAACCTCTCTGGGCCCCAGTGCCTCAACTGTAAAATGAAAGGGAGGAACTCAATGGCTTCAGAGGGTCCTTCCCACTCAATGTCTCTGGTCCTGGGATCCAGAGGCCAGAACTAGAAGCAAAGGTGGAAGCAGAATGATGCAATAAAAAAGGATTGGATCTAGAACCTGAGGAAATGGGTTCAGAACCTAGCTCTACCCTTTATCATCTCTATAATCTTGGGCAAATAATTTCACTTCTCTAGGACTCTAGTTTCCCAATCTGTAAAATAAGGGAGATGAACGTGTAAGACTCCCTAACTCTTCATCTATGACTAAGAAAAAAGTTTCAGAGAGGATGGTTTAGATGCTATATGGTTTAGATACCTTGGGTGGTAGGGTGGGGGAGGGGCAGTAATGGTTTTTCCACCATTACAGGTCTTCGTATTAGGTTTGGGAATCCTTTTCAGACCAGTTGGACTGGATCACATCTGAATTCCCTCCTGTGATTGGCTAAACAGTCATCATTTTTTTATAATAATACAACCATGCTTGTAATCAGATTGGAGACAAGTTGAGTATGAATTATATTCACTTCATATGATTCTATCTTACCATGCCATTTCTACAGCTAGCAGACATGGTGGATAAAATGCTGGACATGGAGTTAGGAAGATCTGAGTTTGAATCCTGCCTCAGATACTCACTAGCTATCTAACCCTGGACAAGTCACTTGTCCTCTCTCTGCCTCAGTTTCCTCATCTGTAAAATATGTATGAACATGATAGCACATAATCTTCCAGAGTTGTGAGGAAAAAAAAATGATATAATATATGGAAAGCACTTTGCAAACCTTAAAGTGTTCCGAAATTCCTGTCTGTTGC